GACAGGTAAATAATTATAAAAAATTAATGTTCAAGAAATTGACCTTTAGACTATCATCCAATCCACAGAAAAGTGTGCGTCCATCAGGGTGGAAGGCAATTGATCTTACTCCTGAATCCTGATAGTTGAAAAAAAAATAAAAATAAAAATAAAAAGAAATGATTTGGACTTGGTTAAAGATCTTGAATAAAAAAAAGAGATTGCATATATGCCAACGAAACACAAAAAAACATCACATGGAAAAGAAGACAAAGAAAAGAGTAAAAAAGGAAGGAAAACAAAAGAAAAGCAAAAAAAATGAAAGGAAAGAAAAGAAAGTACATGACATAATTGTTCATGAGTAAAGAATTAAAATTAAATTAGATTCTATGTTTTCTCCAAATACTTCCGCACAACTTCCTTTTCAAGAAAAAATTACTTGTGAGCTATTAAACACTTAAAACAAGAAAACCAAGCAAAACTGTAACAGTTGAGCCTAATCAGTATCATCACTATCTTCACTAATGGCAAACTCTAATTGCAAAATTGAGATCAACCATTCGTTTCTATTTATCATTGGCTTCTTTAAGTAAAAGTACCTCAACCCTGGTAGATCCAATCATCTCAAACGTCTCCAAGTCCCAAAATTTCACAGTTTTGTCAGCCGAACCTAGAAATATAAATCACAACAGTTAGCAAAACACAAAAAATGTAAAGTCTGCTCACAGCACTCAAAACACTCCATGTGCACACTTACTTACCTGTTGCCAATAGAAACTCGAGAGGATGAAATTCTATGGACCGGATATGTCCCTCATGGAACTTGAAGTCATGTAGAAGCTTTCCAGCCGTCAGGTCCCATACCTGCACAGAAGGAAAACAAAAATGATTTCAGAACCCAGCAAGAGACTCAAGGACGAAAATGTAAAATGGCGAAAAAAAAAATATTCTTCCAAAAATCCTCCCAACCAAACCTTAACAGCTTTATCCAATCCACCGGACACTACCCAGCGGCCATCAGGGGTGAATCTTATCGTGCTTATCCCTCGAGTGTGGCCCTTGTATGTGTGTATGCACCCTTTCTTTCTAATATCCCATATCTTTAGATTCGTGTCCATTGAACCAGATGCTAAAAATTCACCAAAAGGGTGGAACTCGAGAGCCATGCAGTAGGATCTGTGCCCAGTAAGAGTGCGGACCACTGCAAATTCAAGATTTATCAGCCACAAAATAAAATTATATATCATAATGTATTCTAGATAGTTTAACTTACTTTTCGTTTCCTCCAAATCCCACAACTTTATGGCCCCAGAAGATGATCCAGCTACCACTAAAGCCTCTGCTGAATCAAAAGCTGCAGACTCAACTGGACTTGTATGACCACATAGGCTCTGCAAGCAACAGAACGTCATTGTTCTTGAGTTGTATAACATGATACAAAGAAAACAAAGCGAGAGATTTTGTCTGAATTCATTTTAACTAGTTAAATACTAAATCACATATCAGTAGGTCAGTAGAAGTCTGAAGTTCCCAAAATGAAGGAGCACAAGCTTTAAAGCAGAGGAACTCAGCCGCAGCTTAGACTTCCAACATACAATAAACACTCCAACTAACAATTGGACACATATGCAAAGAGCACCATTTTATCGATTAATCAGGGCAAAAGTAACTATGGACTTCAATTGAAATAGCTCCCAATAGCTCATACATCAAACAACTGTAATTATACAGAGAAGAACATAGGCTGGACCACACTCCATTTCTCATTCCGAGTCTATTTCAACAGAAATTAGGCCCCATATACTTTAATGGAAGGTTTACCATTTATGGAATAGTATAATCCATCTTTNTAAAAAAAAAAAAAAAAAAAAAAAAAACAAAACCGGCAGCGTTCAAATTAACCAAACTAGGTAGTCCAAAAAGATGAGTTGATTGAGTTCAGGAGTAATATGTATGTTTTTCAAATGACACAATTAACCCCAGTTTCCATAAGGGATTGTACTAGTCAGACAATCCAAGCAGTGCATTTAATTGAGTGCATTAACATAAATATAATAGGACCATTTCTTCATTTTTTCAAATGACACTTTCGTTCCACTTCCACTACATTATGAGTAAAGTGATAAAATAACGCGTGGTAAAGGTCCGAATCAATGTTCACAAGACAATACAAAACAAAGGCCAAGCAACATTCTTAACTCACCATTACAGATGTCGGCTTGCCAACCGACCAGAGGTTCACTTTTTGATCATCTCCGCCTGTAATGAACACTCGGCAATTCTTCTTGCCAAAGGTCAAGCAATTCACATTCCCCCCATGTGCCACAAATTCCTCTATCAAACTCAGTTAAGAATGTTCAACTCACAAATTGAAAAAGGTACAATCTCAAGCTATTACACGAGCATCTCAAAAGTAAGTTTAGGAGATATTCATCAGTTTGGCAACCACAGATACATACCAAAAATAGATAAATAAAAATTTCAACAGAAAAGGGATAAACTTTAATCAACCAATACGTTAGCTTCCAGCTGCAGAATATCAAAGAGTAACAGCATTAACTGAAAAATCACTAGAACTTAAAGGAATCAAGATTCAGGAGCAGGTACCGGAATTTCTAGAAATAAAAAATAAAAAGCAAACGCCACTCGAATATTTAAGTACACTTTTTATCTCAACCAAATCACTTCAGATCACTCGAATCCAAACAACACCACCTCTAAATATGTTCCTTTGCCGAAATTAAACCCCACCGACACGCATAGCCACATTAGTTGGAAGGAAAAAAAGAACACAAACACATTCTAAATGAAATGTAAAGCACACACAAAGAATCCGAGAGGATACGCAGCTTATACCCACGTTTTGCCATTTCCTCACGGGAAAATCCGAGTACCCCAAATCCCGGCGCTGCTGTCGGTGCCCGCCGAGAACCCAATCCCGCCGGGCAGATAGGAACAAAATAAAAATATAGCCCAGACAAAAAAGACAGAAAATTGCAGGTAACGGCGAGATAATCTGAATCTGACACTGAAAGATAAGCACAAATTTCGTGAACGGTAATCGGGAAAAGTGGGGAATAATTATCAGAATCAGAGAGGATTTTGTAGTGGACCTCAAGATAAAGAATGGCGAGAGGCACAATCATTAACTTAATAATGAAGTACTATTTAAAGATTTTTAATTTTTTATTATATACGCTCAGGCAAATTCTTATGGGATTTAGCAAAATTTACTCCATTGACTGCCTTTTTTCCACTGTGCAGATTGACCGACAACATTGGTTAAAAATAAAAATAACAATAAAATTATCAAAGAACAAACGGTTTGTCTACA